CAGCGCGGCAGCCGGGGTTGGGAGTACCATGCGGGGGGGCGCGCGGGGCGGCCCCCCCCCCCCCCCCCCCGAGGAAAATTTTAAGACCCTGTATTTTATTCGAAAACCGGGGCTCAGAGGTGCCTTAGAAGACGCTGAGCCCCCACACCAGCCCCTCCCAGCTCAAAATCCTGGCTCCGCCACTATGTACACTACCTCCGCAATAATTGAAAACTATTCATTATTACCCCATAAAGCTACTAAGATTTTTTGTTGACTCTGTTAATACCTCTTTAAGACATTTTCTGATAAATTTCTGTCGCAATCTTGAGATTCTTGTACGGCTTCTATTTACAATCTCGATATTTCCTAGACGGAAGGATTTGAAAATTTAGATTCTATAACAATGTTTACTCTATTCATGAAGACTTAACTATGCTGAACATTTCAAAACTGATGAAAGAAGAAGAACTTGGATTTTCTTCAATATATATGTAGAATATTATATATCATTAATCGAAACAGAAAAAAACAACATTTTAAAATAATATATTTACTATTCTAATGAATCATTTCGTAATCTTTCTTATTACTCTCTAATTTCTAACTATCGTCCTTATTCAAGATGTAGAACTAAATGGATGCAAAAATTTCAGATCCTAGATCTGACCAAAGTCTAAACTAATCTAACGGACTCTATCAACATATCTATCTTTGTGATTTATATCAGTTATGATGATTTATTCTATCAATTGAAAATGTAATAATGGAAAATTTATAAAATTCAACGTCATTTATTTCCTGTTTCTGTTGCCTTAGTAACATCCTCTAGAAAAATCCAAAGTGCATAGATATGTTAGAAAAAAATATTTGTTCGATTAAATGCGAGATGATAATGAAAGACGATAGGTTTTTTCTTTTGTCAATGTCGCGAGCCACATGATAAATATAGGCTTGAACCTCCATCTTTCATCATAATGTTTATTTTATAATCTTTTTAGTTCTTATTTATATATAATAATGATTATATTTTAGATTTTTCTGTTCTTTTTTTTTTTTATGTGTATTCAAAGAAAATAATATGATAAGAAAAAAACTCTTTATTAACTTATAAAAATTTTCTTTGGTAAATAAAAATTTTGCTATTTTACAATAAATAATTATTTATTTAATTTTATTATTTAGTTCAGTACTTTATTTATTAATTTATCGTCGAGTAAATAAAATAATTTTTTCTTTTCTAATGTGTATAATTGATTGTTTTGTTTTCTCATTTAAAGTTGTCAAATTCGTGTCTGCTCATTTGTTTCGTGTGCCATTCTAATTTTTGCCACGATCCAAATGTACTTGCTGTTGAGTTTTGGCGATGTATGGTAGCAAACACAGAACAACGGATGGGTAAATTTTGTTTTTTCTTAAAGTTAATATATCATAGATTTTATTCTTGTAGTCTGTATGAAACCCGGAAAGATGGTAGCGGTTATTCGGTAGATATTTATTGATTTTTCTTCTTTGTAATCATTTTATAAATATTTCTATTTCTATAAGTAATATTAGATAGTCAAGATTTATAAAATAACAAATATTTATCTTTTTAATGACATCATGGAAAAGTACTTCCTATGTATTCAACAGTGTGTTTTGGTTTCGTTTTACTATTGATTAGACTTCATTGACTAATGTTTTTTTTTAGTTTTTGAATGATAGATAAATGTACAGAGTTTTTATTTCTAAAAACATGAAAATGAACTAAATTTTTGTATTTTAGCTTAAGATAGAATGCTTTTGAAGTTTGTTTTTAGTAATAAAAACTGTGAGGATGTAGATTTTTCTGTGATATTTCTTTTTACACACTTCTAGATGTGATCATTAGTTTTAATATTACACAAAAGTTTTCATTACAATGAAAAAAAAAAATCAGATAAATATTTTTTTTTTTTGTAACAAAGAAATTATTCCAATTGTAATCTGCTGTTTAAGCTCATAAGAAGGTGTCAATAAGCCTAAAAGAATTTCGCTTGTAAAACTCTTTGAAGTTCAGTTATGACCATTTTAGTGAATCTTTGACACAGTTTTAGGTATATCTGAAAAAAATCAAATAACAAAATTTGAATCTATTGGTAGGTTTAATGAATTTAAGAATATCTTGAAAATTTCAGCTAAAAAGAATATTCCTTGCCCGAGATATTGAATTTTCAAGTGAACTCAATTTTTGTAGCGGACGACCATTTTTTCCGAAATTCAATAACGGAACGTTCAACATATTCTAAGAATCACTAGTAAAAAGGTCATAATTTCTCTTCAAATATCCATCGACAATGAATTACAATTAGATTAATTTCCTCATAAGATTTTTGTACTCTAGACATCTTCCACTTTTTAACAACAACAAAAAAAGAAATGAAATTTGTACGATCAATATATTTTAATTGATTTATCAATGATAAATTATTCAAACTTTAAGATAATTATCGTTTCTGATCAAAAGATTAAATTTATGAAAAAGATTGAAAGAAAATATGCATAATCTACGTAATTCTTTACATTCTTCATCGTCATATTCAACAAATCAATGTTTTTTTTTTCTTTTATAACTATGCGAATAATAAAAATAGATTAATGGCTATTATCAAATATTAGCTAAATATACCAAAAAAGAAAATATAAGAAATACGTTCTAATGAAATGAAAAAGTCAAAAGGACGCAAGTGTCACAGACGTATAAAATGATTCATTACTTCTACATATATATATATTTACAGCTGTCACCTATTTAAAAAAAGACTAATTGAAACGGGTCAATGCTTCTATTTGATCATAGTCGTCTTAAGGTAGAATAAATATGTATTATTGGATAGAAAGAAAAAAACAAAATATATGAAAACTATAAAAGAAGAAAATTTAAGATTAAAGAAAATATTACAAAATTCTTTATATTCATTATAGTCAACAAAACGAGAATCGAATTTGCAAACACATGGATTTAATGACGATTCATCCAATCATCGAAAATATATTCGAACACAATGTATTTGTTTTTTTTGATTAAAAAGAAAAACAAACTATAGTTTATTCATATTTAGCTTCAAATAATCGAACTGTGCCATCGTCATCATTTTCTCAGCAGCAACGTCAAAATGGTGACAAAGATAAGAAAGCAGTTAAAGATGTATGTGCCTTTTTTGTATTTATTTATAACATATATTAAGATTTTTTATTATCAAGGCAAAAAAACCGCTACGTGTATTTGGTGATTGGTCAGAATTTAAAAGTTCAACAGGCAAAACATATTTTTACAATTGTAAAACAGAAATTTCTCAATGGGAAAAACCAAAAGGATGGCCAGCAGATGAGTAAGATAAATTGAAAAAAAAAAAAAACTTTTTCTTTATTAATGATTTAAGAAAAAAAAATTTGTTTTTATTCAGAACAACATTGTCCTCTATTCGAACAACTTCAATATGTTCTTCCACTGATCGAACTAAAAAAGGTTTTGTTTCTTTGGTTTTGTATTTTTATAATTTTCTTTCTTTTTTATTTTCTTCAATAGAAACAACAAATTCAAATAGTTCACCTACAATTCGTTCTCGATATAAGATGGATGAATCAACAGAAAATTCTCGTTATCAACAAAAAGATATTCCTATTCCTAATTCTACTACTACTATTAAATATGAACAAAATGGTGATATACATTCTCATACAATAAATAATTTAGCACAAGAATCATTACAATCTAATGAATCATTTAGTAATAATTCTAATATTCGTTTACCTAGTCCAAGTAAAAATTTTGTTTTTTTCTTCAAAATAATATATAGAATATTTCTTTGATTTATTATTTAAGATGATGATAATAATTCTCGAATGTCATTTTCATCAACGAGTAGTAAAGAATCAACAGCTATAAATATTTCGGATCGAAATGGTAATGGTAATGAAAATAATGGTGGTGTTTTACATTTATCATTATCGGAACCCGGTAAAAAGAAATGAATTCGATAACTAATTAAAAAAAAAGAATAGTTTATTCAATGTGAATACCTCAAAAAAAAAAAATAATTTACTCTCAATTTAGGAATATCGAAAATGTTTATCACTTATTATCTGTCAGAGAAAAAAAAACGACATATAGTGAATATAGTATTTTTTCGTCTATAATTTATTATGAAAGAATTAGAAAGATATTCTTTTGCAGATGATGATAGTATATAGTCTTCTTATTCAATTTTTCTCCTTGAAAATGTATTTCATTTTGTCAATATATATTTGATTGCAACTAAAATATCATCAATCTTTGTTTTTTCTTTTTAATAAATAACTCTAACTATTTAATTGAATTAATCGAAACCTATTGATAAATTTATTCCAAAAAAAATGAATAATATTTTTTGGTTCTTTTTTTTTTTTCGTTTTTACAGTCATTTCAGTCTCTACTCCAGTGTCTGATATACCCAATAAACTTCGTGAAAAAGATTCAATCTCTTTAAATGGTAATAGCAATTATCTTCTAATATATTCAATAACATATAATCCATGTTATAGGAAATGAAGCAAAATCTTCTTCTACTCGAACAATTATTCCTTCTATGAAAACAGAACAAACGTAAATGATTGACATTTTTATAATAATAAAAATGAATAAAATAAAATTTTGTTTTGTTTTTTTTTCAGTACAGAAATTGAACCTTCTGCTCCATCTATGTCAAAGTTTGAACGTGACCAAGAAATTCAAAAATATTATCGTGGTAGTTTAATTCAACATTTAACTGATTGGCCATCAACTCAATTAGAAAAACAGGTATGAGAAAAAAATTCTTTTCTTTTTTTTGTTTAGTGTAAAATTTTTTTTTTTTTTCTTAGTGTTTAAAACTTTTTGATGATTATTATGGTTATAGTGCTAAAATGTCAACAGGATTTATTGAACTTAAAGCATTAAAATCGAACTTTCGCGTACTTGAAATTAAACAAAATATCCTAAGACAGAGGTATATATTTCATTGATTTTAATGAAGAAACGATCTAAAAAATGTGTTAGACATATTGAATTCACTTCTTTATTAATTTAACATAATCTTATTTTATTTATTACAATCATGTAATGTTTGTTTGTAGTTTGCAACTTGTTTAGATATAACTTTTACAAAATAAACTGCATATTCTCACGCGAAAAACATGTATATATTTCTGCATATTTACAAAAAAACTAAAACATAGACTGATTAGTCTATGTTTTTAGTTTTTTTGTAAATGTGTTATTCATGTGTGAGAATATAAAATTTATTTTGTAAAAAGAATTTGTAAACTAAAACGAAATGTCACATGATTGTAATAAATATACGTTAAATTATATTACATTAGTCAGAAAGAGAGTTCAAAATGTCTATAAATCTCTTTGTGATTAGCAGTATTGTGTTTGATATTTTAATTCTAAACGAATTGTACTGAAAATTATTTTTAAAATAAATTAATTTTCTATTTAAGACTTCTCCGGTGTCAACAACATGTTAAAGAACGAGAAGATGATAAACTGTTATAATTTTCTTTTCTTTTTTCTTTCTTTTAAATGTTTTTTTTTTCAAGCAGCAATGTGTATTTGCATGCACAATAGATGTTAAATTGTTCATTCTTAACGCGAATCTGTTCGATATTGTCTATTATTGTTTCTTTTTCTGTGTGTCAGATAAAATAAGAAATATCTTAACATCAGTAGTTTTCTGGCCAATTCAATGATGTTGCTGCTTAGTGATGATCGGATTTCTCTTTCATTTTGTTTCACTTGCTCTCGCTTTGTTTCTCTTTTTCTTTTTTTTGTTCTTTCCAGAGAAAAAAAAAAAACAAAAAAACTTAATAAACCTTGACTCTTATGTATCGATGTGTTCTTCTTTATATTGTGTATCTTTGGTTTTTTGTTGTTTATTCTTTTTTTTTGAAAAAGTTACACATTATATATACATATATATATATATTTGAAAAATACGACATTTGTTCACAATGAAATGTTTTGATAGAATATGACGAAAAAAGAAACAGCGAATATTTTATAGAAATTTTTTTATTTCTTCTATATATTTAATTAAATGAAAAGAAAAGATATAAGATAGTTATTATTGTTTACTAAAATCTTGTGTACAATAATAGATTTGTTTATAATAATGAGAATCATTTGAATAGCATTAGAAAAATCACAAAAACATATGTGAATATCAATAGAAAATATTCTTTAGATGTTTTGTATATATTTTCGTAATATAATAATTTTCTTGTTGTTGACGAAGAATTTTTCTTTTATAAAATCATTGGAAAGTTTAGGTAGTATTTAGTATAAAGATTCTTTTTTTTTCTTCAAATGTAACAATGACAATTTTTATTTCTCAATGTATTAATTAAATTAATCATAGAAACACTATTTGATATATTGTTAACGAAAAGAAATCCATTGAAAAGTTTTTGTTTTTAATAAACCTAAGAACTAAAACGTGCTGATTAGTTACAGATTTTATTTATAATTAATCAAATGCGGAATATACGAAAAGAAATAATTTGTATTCTTGAATCTATCTACTAGCATTGAAGTGCAGTCTATTTTTAAACTGGATAAGACTTATACAATGCGATTAATAATAACAGTAACCAAGATTTGAATAATTCATGTTGGATACTTTTTTTATTTTTATACTATAAAAAGATATCAGTATGTGTGTTCGGAAAGAAAAAAGAAGAATGTTGATAAGATATTTAGATTTTAGATGAAATAACAGGAAGATGACAACCCTCCATGAATCCACGATGATTATATGTCAAAGTAAAAATAATGAAAACTTTTCTCTATGAAGATTATATAGTTTATTTTTAGAATAAGATTTATTTTAATTAGAAAATAAGCCGTATTAAAATAACCTATAGAATATATTTTTTTTGTGTTAGTAATAAATATCTAGAAATTCTGAAATAATTAAAAATAATAAAACTTTATAAATAGATTTACAATATTTATTTTAAAATCATTTCTCTTGTTTCATTTATGATAAAGTCTAGAACTAATGCAAGAAGAATTTTATTATTTCAATTATACGCAAAAGTCAATTCAAAACATATTTTACTAATGAAAAAAAAATATTTCAATAATTTTACATTTAATTTTTTTTTTTTTAAAGTATTATTTTTACTGTCTAGAATTAAAACGTTGAAAAATGCATTTATTATTCATATGATTTTTTAAATGACTCAATGATAAATATCTAGAATAAATCAAAGAAAGGGCATGTGTCTGGTTATTTTTTTTTTGTAATCTATGGCAGACAAATGTTACTTCTACAAATTGAATAAACAAGGAGAACCGAAAGGGGGTCATTTGATCAACTTTTGACTTAGATATCTGGCTTTTTTCTTAGATAATTATCTTTGAATATTCTATTTAAATATGACTGTTGCGCACTTTAATTTATGCATAGGAAACAGTAGCCGTCAGGATTTATTTATCATACTTTGCGAGCTATTATCTACAATGGATATCACATATTAATATTTAATAATTATTCATAGAATATTTATTCTTTTATATTTCTTAATAATTATTTTAGATAATGTCAAATGATAATGATCGTCTTCGTGAATTTATATCATCACCAATTGATTTAAATAAATTTTTAAATGATTCAATAAATTTAAAAAAACGTACAACATTATTTACATATTCAAATTCAATTGATGAAAATAATCTTGATAGATTGGTTAATTTAGCTAAATCTTTAAGTGATTATCATCATCATGAACAACAAAATGAAACAATAAGAATAGAAAATAATATTGAACAAGATGAAATAGAAGAAGAACAAGATGATCATAATGAAGATGATGAAGATACATCATCAAATACTTGGCGTATAAAACGTAAAAAAAAAAAAGTTAATTCAATTATTTTAAATAATCTTAAAACATATCCAGCTTGTATTGAATATTTATATAAAGAATTTAGTCAATCACGTCCACATGCATCACATGATACAGCATTTTTAAAAAATATTCGTGAATCAAATCAAGTACAATCAAATATAAATGATGATAGACTTATATTAAATTTACAAATATTTTTTCCTGTTGAATCACGTGATCGTTATCGTCATCAATTAATGAATGAACTTATTTGTTTATCAACATTAACATTAGCACAAATACGTGATTCTATTGAATGTGTTAGTGATGAACAAATTCTTGGTGAATATTCTAATAATCCTGAACTTATAAAAACTATTGGACAACGTGCTGGTGATGTAAATACGGCTGCTTGTTTTATAATTGAATCGATTATATATGATGATTTACGTCGAACAAATATACGTTTAAGTGAAAAAATTCTTGAACAAACAAATACAAATTATATACAAGGTAATACAATGGAAATGACAAATTTAAATGATATTAAAATAATTCAACTTGGAAAACCATATATTTATTTACATCAAACAAATTGTGAACATGTTATTGTATTTAGTGAATTAAAATTACTTGAACAAGATCAATGTCATGATTCAAAGTAAAAAATTTATTTATTTTATTATTATATTTATTATTTTTCTTTTTAGTCTTTATCCATTATGTCGAATGAAATATCATGGAAGATTTTCATATTGTTTTCTATGCAATGTTTTTTATGCTAAATGGCTTATTCGAGATTCACCTCTAATACCTGATGATCCATGTTTATTATGTGATAGATGTTTTAAAGCATGTCATTATGATAAAGACGAAAATAAAGTTGGAAATTTTCTTGCATATCATTTTCCACAATTGTAATAATAAATAAAAATCTTTCTTATATATCATGGGGCAAAAGATCATTTTTTTTCATTCTGTCATTTATAAATAAAATTAATGTGTCTGACCCTGTTTTTCTTTTCGATTTTTATTTCTATAGAACGACCAACTTGAAACTTTACATCAGCCTTTCTTTGTGAGAATAAGTTTTTTTTTTTATCATACACAATCAAGCCACTCCCTCCAGGGTCATGTGTTTTGAAGATGCGTTCGGCAACATAAATGATCTACACGTCTTTTTTTCTTCTATTATTATTATTATTTTGCTTTTACTTGGTTTTTTTTCTATTCGTTTGCTATCGCCTTTGTCGACGCATGACGTAGATTACACGCCTAAGCAATTTTCTTCGTTCTGTAGTTTGCTGCTATTACCATTGCTCCTAAAGGACGTCGTCGCTTTTTTTTTTTGCTTTTCTCTCATCGATAACAACATCCAGCACATAAAAAAAAAGCTGCTCTTCTATCACAACATGATGATGCTTTTTTTTCGACTCTATCATCATCTAGTAAAAATTCTTGTTTGTTTTAGAATGTAACATAAAGAACGTTGTACTAAAACAAAAGACGAAAAAGAAAATTTAATACAAAGGTGGGTGTCTTATTTATGAATTATTCGTATTGAAACTCGTTCCCAATGAAAACGAAAGAAAGAACATGCCACAAAAATATATTACTCAAGAAGATTTGATGCTTGACTGCTTGCACGTGTACCACGTTTCATTATGGTCTACCGAACCAATAAATACATAGAGGTGTACATGGAAACACATAAATACATATGTAGTCTTCACCTTTATTACTAGTCATCGAGTTTTATATGTACATATACGTAAATATTTAAATGATCAATTTTTTTATTTATTTATACTAGATTTCATATTTGATAATTAATGAATATTTGTTGAAAAAATAAGTATTTATTAAATACGAAAAAATCACGATGAACAGATCAATAAGTGAAGGTAAATAAATTATCATCAGAGAAAAGTACCCACGATTAATTATTGTTCTTTCTTTTTTTTTTTTTATTGAAGTAATAAACGACAGTCATAATAGTAGAACTGAATCTTTTGATCATCAATCAATGACTGATGATGAACATTATGTACAAAAACGAAAATCTCGTCGTATTCGAACTCTTATTAAATCTTCTGTTGAAGATATTATTCATGATAAACAAACAGAACAAAGTCATAATATAAGAAATATAAGACGAAATTCAGCAACATCATTGTTTGATAGAAGACCATTTCCATTTGGACACTGGTATGTAATTTTTCATTATTTATTTTATGTTACTTATTTTTCAATGTTTTCATATATATTTTTTTTTTAATATTATAGTCGAGTTTGTATGGACAAAGCAACAGGTGCACATTATGGGGTACCCACATGTGAAGGATGCAAAGTAAATTTTACATTAAATGTTATTTTTATTTCTAAACTAGACTATCATTGAATACACCAGAAGTTGATTAACATTTTTCTTTTTGACTATTATTGAGTATATAGTTTTATTTTTGCTTGCAAAGGGTCACTATGACCCATATGAGTACTCTGAAAAGAGTAATCATGAGACATTATTAAGGTATAGTGAAATAGAAAGAAAAGGGGGTTGTATAAGGTTTAATTATTTGTTATAGCCCAATTTTGATTCATTTTATTGGATAAGAAATTCATCATTGTTTTTTAGAAAATATTCTTTCTTTTATATCATCTTAACTAAACATATGAAGAGAACTTTTTTTTTTAATGCATAAAAATAATCTTAAGAGAAAAAAATAATGAAAAGAAAATATTTATTTTAGGGCTTTTTCAAGCGAAGTATTTTACGTAAAGAAAAATATCGATGTTATTTTGGTGATGGATGTGTAATTAATACTGATAATCGTAATCGTTGTAAATCATGTCGTTTTCAAAAATGTTTAAAAGAAGGAATGTCTGTTGAAGGTATATAAAATAAAATAATTTAAAATATATTTGTAATTATTATTCAATTTATATTCAGGTGTTCGAATGGGTCGTATTCCAAAATTAGTCAAAGAAAAAGCTCTTGCTGAACATCATTTATCATCATCAAGTATAGAAAATGATGATCCAAGTTCATCAATAGCATCTACATCACCATCATGTTTATCATCAATAAATTCAAATAATTTAACATCAACAGATATGAATCTTGATTTAATTGATGAACCATTTTTCTTGGATGATTTCGAATCTGTATCTATTGATACTCCTTCAACAACATCACCATCATGTCATAGTTATGTATTACCTGAAAATTTGACTGTAGATGAAACAAAAACTAATCATAAAGAAAATCAATCGATATTAAATCATTCAGTTTTAACGAATTATACAGTAAATAATGAAGAAAATTTTTCAAATAATGCTCTTGAACGTATTAAAAAACTTGTATTAAAATTAAATTATCCAATGACATGTACAGTATCTAATTATGAAGAATTATCATTTATTCGATATCTTCGAAGGAAAATATTTGATTTATCAAATACATATAATGATTGTACAAGACAATTCGTTGAAAGAATGAATAATATAATTAGTCTTGAAGTAAATAAAATAAGAATTTTTATTTTTCTAATAAAAATTTTATATGATTTTTATTTTTTAAGATTACAGAATTTTCTGGTGATTATCCATCTCTTCAAGATATATGGGCAGGATTGACGGGTAATTTTTTTGAAATATATTCAAATTTTTGTTTTCAATTAATTATATATTTATAGATGCTATTCCATTCCATGTGAAAAATCTCATCACATTTGCTCGAGAGGTAAATTTTTGGATTTTTTTGCTTTTATTTTTTATACTAAATTTTAAGTTCATTTATATGTTAAAATGTCGAGTATGTAATATTTTCAAGAAGAATTTTTGAGTTACTAATTGATCCCAATGACAAGAAATGCGCTTTTATGTCATGAATAACTAAAAGTGCAACAAAGAAAAGTACTTTTCGAACGTACAATCATAACGTTTTTTCTTTTATACGACGAGACTCGTAACAATAAAACTAATAACTATTATTGTCAAACGATTATGCACGAAAGAACAGATGACAAGCAGAATTTTTAAATTATTTATGACATAAATAAAACATAATATCAACATCATTGATGCATGTTTTTTATCATGAAAATAATTGACATAGTATTTTTTTTGTTTTGTTTTATTTGTTTAGATGCCAGCTATTAATGAAATCGACTTCGATGATTATCATAAGATAATGAATAATCGTTTATTTGATTTTTGGCTGGTAAAATTTCTTGTTTTTTTTTTTCTTTTGAAATAAATTTGATCGAAAAAAAAAAATTTTTAGATTAAACATGCACCATTAATACGTAATAATGAATCATATATAATGTTACCAAATGGTCTTCAATATACTCGCCAATGGATGAATAAAATCATAGGTGAAGAAATGGTTGAAATAATGTTTGAATTTGCAAAAAAATTTAATGAATTAAATTTAACACAAGAAGAATATGCATTAATNACAAGTACTGTGATTACTCATGTTGCAATAACAGACAGTTAGTTGCGATTTACCACAGTTCTACTGTCTTAATTTTTTGTTGCATTTCACTGGATTATTATGTTTTAATTCTTTAAGAAATGTTACATTTCAGTCAATACCTCGCATTCAGAGTACGATGAGCGCACGCAATTCACCTGTACCTACCACATCATCACTTGTTTTTGTAGTATGATATTGTTAAACTATGCGTCATGTATCTGTTACAAGCTTGTCAGTGAAAATCATAGGTTCTCTTTCATAAAATGAATTGGCTTTTCTTTGACATGATTGTTTACATAAATATAGATTTCTTTTGAATTTTTACGATTAAATGTTCTATTCTATGACTCATAGGGGTTGAAATAAAAAAAGAAAAATCAATGAAACACAATCCTGTATTAAAAATACAGTTAGTATGCGGGACTGACCCAGACATGACGTCAATGGCATTTTATTTGTGATAAAAGGTATAATATTCAAATTGTGTTCTCTTAAATGACGTTCTTTTCTTTGTTTCTTATTGGTTAAGATCCAGAAAAACGTTTTTTGATACAATAATTTGTAAATATGTATATTTTTTCTTTCAATACAGAACTCATAAAAAAACATAATCAGAAATCAATTGACCGAGAAACCATGTAAAAAATTATTCAATGTATCTTGGAAAATCGTATGTAAAGAAACGATAGCGAACGAAAAAGAAAAATAAAGATATACTTGTTTCGTGTATTTTTTTTTTTTTCGTTTCTCTTATATTGGAAGAAAAATAAAACACAACAGCGGAGTATTTAAAGCAACGTAGTAAATCATAATGAAAGACATACATTTCCAACTGTTATTTTTAAGTCGTCAAGATGTGCAGTCCTCTATTGGTTTCTCAACCGTCTTATGATCTAGGCATGTATTTACCAAGTGAATTAGATTCGGAAGACACAACAGTTTATCAATCACCTGAAATATTAATGCGTTCAATTAATATTGATATGTCATTATCGGCCCATCGATTTGAATCTGAAATATTTGATCCAATTAGTGATGACATGGAAGCTCTATCGACGCTAACAGATAGTGATATGCTACCAAAATATGATAATACCTTGGATAAAATTGATATTGCCACTTGGTTTTCAGAACACTGTGTAGTAGCACCTGATGTATCGACTATAGAAGATAAAGGAGCATCACATGATGAAAAATTATTATCTGTATCATCAAAACGTCCTTACAAAAGACAAAAGAGCAATAAATTATCGTCTAATTCATCTGTACCTTCAAATTCTATGCAAATAAAAATGTTTCTTGTATTTGATGAAAAAACAGGACGATTACGTCGACCATTATTACATGAGTTTATTCGAACAATATTAGAAAATGTTGAATATTCACATATTGCTGAATATATTGATCGAAAACAAGGCATTTTTAAATTATATCAACCAGATGAAATTGCTGAATTATGGAAACAAGTGAAAGGACGTAATAGTGATAATAGTAAGTTGATTCTTTTGTTTTTTTGTGTAAATAAAAATTTAACTAATTAGCATTTTCTTTTATTAGATATGACCTACGATAAATTAGCAAGAGCTCTTCGTTATTATTATGGAAATGGTATAATGTATCCTAATCCAGGACGTTTCACATTTCGATTTGGACCAAAATCTGGCTTTGGCATTTCATGGTGGCCAGCTGATTACTAAACATGAATATTTATTTATTTATTTTTTTTTTTTTCTTTATTTTATTCTTGATATCATTTTGTTCTTTATTTCGTGTTATTTATAACGAGTCCGATATATGCAATTTTTCACTTAAATTGTTAATAGTCGAAAATTGTTTTTATTTGTTGATATATGTGAATTCCTTTTTTTTTTTTATCTTATGGTAGACGTAATATAAAAATTTAATATTTTCTTATCTATGAACAAAACTAGTTTTGTATAAATAAAAGATGACATATGAGAAAAAAAATCGAATATAGATATAAATCATTTTATAATAAAAAACAATAAGTTGCCACTTTATTGTTTATGATTTGTCATGGACATGATTTTCTTTTTAATTTAATTAAAAATATGAATTCATAGTTAGGCGTTTCATAAATAATTTCATGTAGATTGAAAATGAATATTGTGATTAATGTATAGATTTCACTCAATATTACTTGTTAATGTCGTATGTCATCTAGACACAATAACAAAAACAATGTTCGCTAAGTTTTACCTATTTGTTTTTCACTATTCTTCATCTGCTACCATGAAGAGAAAAGTACACAACGTGTATCTCGTGACACTCAAGGACAGACAATAGTAATTAGAGTGTCAAAATACATGTGGTGTCGAGAGGTGAGCATTAAAATTAATGGCGTGATATTGAGGATTGATAGACGTTGCTGATGTGACCATTTAAAATATTCAAAAAAAAAACAAGAAAATAAGTGTATTCATTAACATATTAAGATTATTTTTTCCTCATTTATTTGAATATTTCATGTTCTTAAAAAATAGTTTACTGTCAAATTCAAATTGAAATTTTACAGTCGATTACATTTTGATTAGTGTTACTAAAAATTATCATTTTTTTGTTTTTTTCTTTTCAGTAAATGTCGAACCGAATTCGTCGATCATTTTTATATGAATATAAAGTAGATTTGGATGTAAAAGTAAGATTTCGACGAAAATCTATAGTAATGTTTATTGATTTTACAATAAATTGAGAGAACGAGTAAAATGCTCGTTCTTTAGTTTTTTTTGTGAACTTTACTTAAGATTTGACGTAAATACAAAAGTAATCAAGGAGAAGAACAGTTTTTTTACCTGGTAGCATTTAGATAGTGTGACGCAGAAAAAGAATAAAATCTTTCGGGGAAAATAGAGCATATCTATGAATAAAATCAGTTCGGTGAAAATAGGTCATTTATGATTTTCTATAGTGATTTAGTATCGTAAATGATAGTTTAACAATTACGTTATTACCAGACGATGCATTACATTTTCAATTATGTGATAGGTGCAAAAAGAAAACCATAGGTTTCTTAGTATTTAAAAAAAAATTTCTTCGACATTTCCTATCGGTCCGATCTAAACTTTTTTCTAAACGACACCGTCTGAGAATGTTTATGAAAATCATAGGAAATCGTTGATTGAAAACATAAAATTAAAACATTTATTTGACAAGTACTGTGATTACTCATGTTGCAATAACAGACAGTTAGTTGCGATTTACCACAGTTCTACTGTCTTAATTTTTTGTTGCATTTCACTGGATTATTATGTTTTAATTCTTTAAGAAATGTTACATTTCAGTCAATACCTCGCATTCAGAGTACGATGAGCGCACGCAATTCACCTGTACCTACCACATCATCACTTGTTTTTGTATAGTTTTTCAGTATGACTATGTATTAAAGGTAGTGTATAGAAATAGTCATTAGTTAGAAGACTCAACCAATAGAAAAAAAAAACGTGGCGTCGTCTGACATCATATATATGTATATTGTGGTATTTTAGTCAACGCTTTTCGAGTAGCAATCAACCTTTGTAAAACAGACAATATTAGTTTAATTGAAAAACGAGAACGAATTTCATAAAAAAAAAATGTTTGTCAGTGCAGATCTGTTGGGGCTAAAGTGTAATTCTCATATGTTCTTTAGCCGCATCAGTCTAATACAAAATCATGAAGTTTCCAAGAATAATCAATCACCAATGAGATGATCTGTCTTAATTTATTTCTTCGTTTGAAACAGATTTTGTTTTCTTTTTTTACTAGCCCTCTATTCTTTGTTACAATTTGCTCGTTAGTTAGTTAACTGACAAATAAGCCTTTTGTACGTATTCATTAGATGCACAGCACATTCCCAACGTATTATTGTGTGTATCAATAAACACGCCCATGTGATGAAAACTGCCAAAAGACCAAAACTTTATTCTTCATTTTTCGAATAAAATCGATTATCTCTGTTTGATACCGAACTTCAACAAAATTGCAAATTTCTTCATATAAAATGTTTGAATTGTCATTTTTCCTTTTCATAGTTTGACATTCATCAACTAATGCTGACACGCTGAACCATCAATACAACATGAAATTGTTTTCTAATCTAGATCTAATTTAGAGCCTGTTCCTAATGTTTTATTGGTCACAACTGGCAAATCACTTCCTTTTTACCTATCCTCTGTCCACTCAGAACGCGAGATACATTGAAGATGAATATCGTCTTACACATCATTCAAGAACTGTCTGAACAACAACTTCTAGAACTATGTTTTTGCAATGACATCTATTATTGTGTCAGTTTTCTGTGTTCATTTCGCTACTAAATCCGCATCAATATAATTTATATGCTGAATTAGGCTATCAGATATTCAGCAAAATATTGAAAAAGAAAATTCAATATAGTTAAAGTTTTATTGATCCATTCTCGAAAAGTATGAGTACACGCGAATCAGGGTGCAGATTTTAGGCAATTCTGGTAGTCTTCTAGCTACCTACATCCTACATTAAAAACATGAATGTTTCAATCAACCTATACTGTGACATCTTCTCGCTGCTGATCCTATTTTATCCTACATTTTCAACACTCTTCTTACAGAATTTTTCGTTTCGATATTTTTGGTTTTCTGCATTTTTTTATCATGTCTTTTATAACACAAAACGTTTACTTATTATTATAAAGAATTATCGTAACCATGCTGTATTTTAAGATAATGGAAGTAAATCATTTTAAATTATGAAATAGTACATAAGTAGTCTCAATGACTACATCGTACAGATAATTTGTAAGTATTACAATCGTACTTAAGTTTATCGGTATGGATCATGGATCATTTCGTAAAATTTGAGTATTATATTTTAAATTTACATGTAGATAAATGTCAGCGCTTCGAATGAGATAGGACAACTCCATCCTATGGAAAGAGATAACATGGGGAAATCCCATTTCATGAAGGACAATGGTGTCAGGTTCTTTTTTCTTTTAAATCCCATCTCATTTGACATAATAGATGGAGCAATATCATCCTGTGGGAAGAAATAAGATGGGGGAAATTCTCATCCCATGGAAAGAAATAGGATGGGGAAGTTCCATATCGTGGAGCACGATGTATGAAACAATTCCAGTATGGGGAGAAATGAGATAAGGAAATTCTCATTCCATGGAAAGGGATAGGATCGGACAAAACCATCCTATCGAAAAGAATAAGAGTAACTTTTCGTTCCATGGAATTTCATTTTTTTTTCTTATGAAGAAATTGTATGGTTTCGTTTGAAGAACTATGGATTCTCGGTATTCTATAGGTATGATGGATAATAGGACTTACTATGTTGTTATGAGTTCATGGGGAAATTGAATTTGCGGCAAATTCAAAATACTTATACCGCTCTAGCGGTATAGTGGTATAGCGGTATAAGTATCCTTATACCACTGTATTTCTATAGCTTCTTTAAAGGCAAAGAAATCTCCTACCAAAGGGTACAGCCACCTTTAGAGTAGCCCTTCAAAGATACCACCTTCAGGGTACCTTTTCAAGGGCACCCTCAAGGGTACCCCCCCCACCCTCACTTTGTTGTCCCTCAAGGGTGCCTCCCAAGCGTACCCTTCAAGAGTACCCTTCCAAGGATACCCTCCTCACTCTCACTTTGTTGTTCCCCAAGGGTACCTTCCTCATCCTCAAGATGCTTCTCTACCTCTATATAATGAATTTGTCACAAATTCATTTTTTTTAAAGAAAATGAATTTGTCGCAAATTCGAATTCCCCATCATATGGTTGTTATCATCGATCTCTTGCATTAATAGAAAGTTTCGTTTTTTTTCTGTCTTGTAGTAATTTTTCATGTAAAGTCTTTTCTATTGTTATGGAAATTTAACCCTTTATAACTGTTAGTGATTCCAAAAGAGACACTTATAAAATAGTCTTATTAATAGAGTATTATAGGCTCTCTCATATTCTAATGTTGTGATTATATGCATCTGGTGTTCTGCTTTTGCTGTAGGATGTTTTTGATCCTTTGGTAGATATCAGGGATTAAATGGTAAGAGAAGCCTAGAAGTTTTTCTTTCATGACAGTATTAAGTGACCAAAATCAGCTTATATTCCATGGTATTAGAGTAATATAAAAAGAAACGGGTGAATTCATAAAAACTAATTTTGAAACAATACATGTGTTTTTGACATATGTACTCAAGTAAAGACCTATTTTTATTTGGAGAATCATATAAACACCGAAGGCATTTTACCCATATTAAGTATTATTTCAACTTCTCACATGATGAAATTTATAATACATACATTAACTCTATTCTTAACTGTCTTCTGTCTACCCAATAGTGGAGACACAAAATCATTTTTTGGCTCATCGCCTACAATTTATCAACCTAGGCCCCATAACAAGTTCCAAATATCTCTTTCTGATGGTGATAAAGAGTACGTAACAAGTTTCAATGTTTTTCGTTTTTTCAAAATAATGAATTTTATCAACCTGATACTTGAAAGATACAGTGATGATGGAAAGAAATATCCATTTTTACCAATCGATAGTTCGTGAAGTTTGCTGCAAGACCTAATCTTTTTATGGTTTGAAATTCTATGCATTGTTGGCTTATTGTAATCGATCTACAAATAATCATTTTAACGACTAATAGGAGATAAAAGATTAAACAATAAGAAATAACACTTGTTTTGTGAAGTATTGTGTGTTTCAAAGTCGTTTAAAACAATTCAACCTAATTGTCAACATAATTTATTATGAATTTTATTTAGAGAAAAGAAAAGAATATATATAAACCCGTGATAAATTCTATTGAATCCTAACAATCACAAGATTAACTAGAGCTCACAAAATCTGAAGAAATTTTCTAAATTACATCAGAATACGAAAGAATCTTCCGTGATCTGTAGTAATATGAAAAATTACATAAAGTCATCAGAAGCTAAGTGTTTCTGGATAGAAAATACTCTAAAAAAGTGAGGTATGTTCAGATTTTCGAACAAGTAATTTTCCGAAATTACCAGACATCTCCACACATTCATACACAGCAACAGAAAATTCTGAGAAAACCCAGTAATTATCATTCTGCCAGAAAGAAATTTCCCAAATTTCAAACAAATGACAAACAAACTTAATGGAAATTTCGAAAGTTATCACTACAACATAAAAGAAATTTCTCGGAAACTTAAGTAATTACCCATACTATTGCAGGAAAATACTAGATAATTTCCGTAAATACCGAATCGACCGATGGAAATTTATCAGCAATAACGCAAACTAAGAGCACATGCGGATGAAATTACCAAAAATTCTTATAGTTTTTGAGTGTAGGGATCCTTAGATCTATATCTCTATTATAATATCTATATGATAAAAGAAGAAATTATAGAAATTTCCGTCATTACTAAAATTTCCTAGTAATTACCGAAATTTGTGGAGAAAATTCGTCTCATTTGTTAAGGCAACTTGAAATTTTGTGCAATTTTCATTGTGGTTTAAATATAATTTGAGTAATTTCTCAGGAATTATTGAGTCACAGCTAATTTTATATGGGAAAGTTCGTGATAATTTTGTCTGCATGTATTCGCATTTCTGTAATTACTGATAGTTACGATAGCATCTCATATTTTCTAAAAATTGCATTTTGTATGGTTGCAATTTCCAAAATATGAATATTTAGCAGAGAAATTTCCTTTTTTCGGAAATCTGCCCACTGCTGAAAAAAGTAGCATTATTATTTCTTAATACTTAAGATATGGCACTAAAACTTTTAAAAACAAATAATGGCTCCTGAATCCTACCGAAATCCAGTAAATTTAAATGGATCTCGATGAATCTACTATCGTATTCATTAAAATTGACCATGATCATCACAATACTCTAGCTCATATACTTTATCGAGTCCGAATACTTTCAACATTGTTCTTGAATTCTTGTAGTTTTGACGAATAAACTTGTATTTTTATTCAGTATTTTCTTAAGAGAACATTAAAAAGTTCAAAAAATCATCAGTAATCAACAAAACTATAACAAATCACAGATTGTCAGCTCTGGAGTACAGTATGTTGAAAGTGGCGCCATCTTCGATGAGTTGTATCTCAGAGCTAACAGTTCTGATGAGAAAAGATGAAAGTCTTATACTGAAGAATGATAGCGTAGTCACCTGTAGATTCTTGAGAGATTGTTCGCCGCTCAAAAATTTATTGCCCACGAGTTTCTTGTGATGATGATAATTACTTAAGGGGAACCCCCCTCAGAAAATTGATTTTTTTTGAAAAAAATCGATTTTGAGATAAGCACATATGCTGAAAGCCCAAAGTGTCCTCTTTCAGATTATGTATGATTTGTTGCACTTTCAATGGTTTTGAGCTGTGAAAATAGCGGTTTTCTGGGAGCACTGGTAGAAATATAAGGTTTTATCAGAAATTTTTTTAGTTAGGGAGATGTGACAGTGATCAACAAACTTGTAGATTTTGTTTAATGAAAAAGACATATACGTTCTGTTATATTAATTAATTAGAGGAACGTAGTCATTTCTGCTTAAAATCCTGCATACATGATGAAATTGCCGTATAGANTTGTTCTTTTGGGCTTCTTCTAGACTCACTAACGCCTACATGATGCGCATAGTCTTGACTCAAAAGCGATTTTACACTTACATATGTTACCTCGTTAGACGAATAGAAACCATCGAGTTCAGGTCCGAGACTAATTCTTACCTTGCACATCTCTATTGTTTTTCGACCGACAATCTACTACCGGTAGTACAAACAAATGTACAATATGAAAAATATTTATTATTAGTTTTGAAATTTCATTTCATTACTAAAAAGATTAAACATTCGATTTACGTAAGTGTGAAAAACTCATAAATTACGAATTTATAATATTGACAATGGCAAGTTTAAAAAAGGTGTTTTTAGTAAAATAATATCATGTTGAAACAAGTTTTTCGGTTAGAAAATGATTGATCAGTTTATATCTCAAATACTAATTGATGAAAATTTATTTGAAGGCTTAACTTAAAAGATTCTTTGTTTTTTTTGTTACCTCTTCTGATTTTTGTGTTGATTCATTAAAACGTTTTGCACTCCAAAATAGATGTGTACATAAAAGTAATGTACGAACTTGATCTGGTCGTTTAACTAAACGTGTTGCTGCTTGTGTTAATGATTGTCGTAATGTTGAATGATTTTCTTCACCAAAACATGCTACTTTTTCTAGTGTACCTATTAAAAGTGTTAATGAAGCACATTGTGCTCGTGTATCACCTGCTTGTTCTTCATATAATGTATAAGCCTAAACAATAAAATAAGTATAAAAAAAGAAAAATATACGATAAAATTACTTGTGAAAAAAATTCATAAGCAATTGTTTCAGCATTTTCTGAACCAATTTCACTAGCTGCTAATGCACCTTGTAAATATAAACGTAATGGAAGATCATTTGTTTCTAATTTTGTTAATGTATTTATTAATTGATTGCATAATTGAAATAGTTTTTGACATTTTTTTTCCCATTTTTCATCCTAAAATATTATTATGAAAGCAAAAAAAATAATTTTTGTTTTTGCTTTGAAATTTTCATTAACCTGTTCGCGTATATTTTTATATCGAAAAGTTAATGCATATGCTTGCATTATAATTGATGGATATGTAAAACGCATACGTTCTAAACCACCATTTTTAAATGTATCTTGACAAATTTTAATAATATGATATTGTTGATCAGGATCATTCGGTGCTTTAAAATTATTACATAAACGTGCAACAAGATTTTGTTCTTCAACAAAATCTTCATTTGTTATTGTTTGTCGAGATGTTTCTAATGGACTATCATTTTGATCAATAATTAATGTTAATATTAATTCAAATAATTGTGTAACTTGTTCAGCTGTTGGAATAACTGTTTCTTTATCAAGTATACTATTTATAATATACATACAAACAGTATGTCGTTCACGATAACTAAGTAATTGTAAAACAAGTTTATAATGATTTAATTTAAGTACATCAATTATATCATAACAATCAATTGGAATTTTAAGCATTTTAACTAATTCTTTTGCTGCTTGTGTACCTGTTTGAACTCTAATAAAAAATATTAAAAATAACAAGTTGTTAATATAATTCTTGCGAACTTAAAATGTGAAACACGATGTAACTAATCATTGGCACATGTTTCTTCACTATCATTTTACTTAGTTCTTCAGAAAAGCAATATGAAAGTAGTTCATATATTAGAACGAGACGTTATTAATATGCGATCTGGATCGCGAAAGGCCTAAATTCATATCTTTTGCATTTCTTTTAAATCGTGTTTCACAAAAAAAATTCTTATTTATATTAATGCAATCTTACTGTGTGTCTGAAGCAATATTATCAAATATTTTTCTTGTATTTTCAAGTACTTTATTTCCATATTCAAATTGATCACGGTAACATTTTAATGATAAATTAAGTAAAGCACTTTGTAAAGCAACAATATCTTCTGGTGGCATATTTACACGACTCTATACAAAATTGAATTTAGTTTATGTTTGTTTTTTTTTTGCGAGAATGTATAAATTTAATTTACTTTAACAACTTCAGCTATTTGTTCAGAAAATATATCAAATAATTGTATGTTTTCAGGAATATTTTGTTGGCTACCATCACGTGTTGAATATGCTGTTAAACTAGAAAAAAACTAATAATTAATAAAGATAAAATGGATGAAAACGTATATGTTACCGATCAATAAGTGATATAAGAATATTACGAATGTTAACAGTAGCACTTAATTCGCGACAAGCTTTAAGAAATTCATTGAGTGTATTTAAATGATATTCATCTGGGAAAACCTTAAAGACAAAAAAAATTGATTTTATTACAATATAAACTCAAAGATAAAAATTTTCTATACAAACTTAACTACAGAAAAATGCTTTCAGTGTTATCCCATCCAGGATTAAGATATTTGTGCTATTTCTAAATCGAGTCTCAGAATTTTTGCCGAACTCATAAATTACGAGTTATGTATAAATCTTTGTTTTTTCGCGATTTTTTCTCGGCATCTTCGTATTTCTATCGGTACTTAAAAATGGATCAAACATTCAGTATACCGATCATAACTCGACGCCAACGGTCAATGAGAACGAACCCCGTTAGACTTTTGCTATTCTTACTGAGACCTTCTTGTTGGCCCTCTATAGCTCTGTTTACGAAAAATGGTACCCGTACAGAACACTAACATACTATTTATTGCTTCGAGCAAGGAGAAAAATACTATTTTATGGTTGAAAAAAAAAAAAATGCAACAATTGTTATTCGTATGTTTAAAGTACTTGAACTTACTTGAATAATACATTCCATTAGATATTCTTGTGCAATTGGATCTCGACAGCTAACGACTTGTTCCATAATTTTTGGAAGAACAATCTTAATTAAATACGATAAGTCATTGTCTTTATTTTCATGAAGAAATTTTCTTACAGTTTTATATCGTTCGACATTAACACATTCAAGTTCACTTAAACGTACTAAATTCGTTCCAACTAAAATTCGTAATTCTCGACGTTCTTGTTCACGTCGTTGTAAATCTCTTTAAGAAACAAAATCATTAGAGAAAATTTAAATCTTTTTTTTTTTTTACCGTGTATGTCCTTGATATTGCATTCGTACCCAAAGTTTATTCATTTCAGAAAAATTTAATAAAATAAAATCAAGTGAATCAAGTATTGTTCCTGTTTTACTATCTTCTCTATATATATATATACATAAGAGAAAAAAATTTTATTCAATAATAAATTTGAAATTTTTATTTACTGATTTTCTTCTTCATTATCTGGTAATAAACTTTTAACACATTGTAATAAATAATTTCGTAAAAATAAACCACGTAATGGATGTTGAACACCTCGACACATTTCAACTAAATCACGAAGAACTTCACGTCGTGGTAATTCATTTGCTCGAATATAAACATGACCTATTGTAATTAATAAATACCTAAAAGAAAAGAAAAATTGAATTTATTCAAAATTCAACATATTATATGAAAAATATCGTAGTGTTTATTTCAGATGGACGCCATCCTCTCTATAGTGATTAATGAGACATTTTTTATGCAAGGTCAAAGAATCTAAAGTCTGTACTCTTCTCTTGGGCAATGGGAGATCATTTAGTGAAGTGCCTAGAACATCTCACTTTACATGGCAATATCTGATAGCATGAATCACGAATATCAGGATAATCCGAGTTTTATGAGAATAATATTTGCATCAAAGTCTATTTTGTACTTATATTTATTCAGCCCTTAAATAATATCATTCATTCGAAACGTTAGTTTATGAGCAACTTTATAAAGCAAAAAAAAAGTTTTATATCCACTCTTCAATTCAATGAGAAATTCTTGGTCGCAAAATAAAGATATTTTCTTTTAGTAATCTTGAAAATTCATTTTTTCACAGAAGGTAAGAAAAATGAATTTTTATTTAATTTCAAATTGAATGAAACTTTTAGAAATTATTCTGCTCTATGTGACACATCGACTGCGTACGAATCAATGCTTCTGAATCGAGATATAGGTTTTTTGATCAAAGTAACCGCAAATTTAGAATCAATACAAGAAATTGCATTGAGTATTGTATAATTTGTTAGTTTTTGAAAACAAAAATTTAAGATAAATTGAAATAAAATATTTCTAGTAAATCTATAATAGTGGTTGTCATCAGATGTGTTTAAGAATTTTTAAAGTTATTTTCTGTTTATAAAACTACATACAATCTTGGAACAATATTTCCAGCATATTGAACAACTTCATAAAGATCATGACTACCACGACCATGTTCAAATTCATCAGCAAGATAAAGTTCAAGATGATGAAGTTCTTCAACAACGACAACATCTATAAATAAGAATGATATAGTTTCGTAGGAAAAAAAAAATAGTTGTAAATTTCATACGTAATTCATAATAATTTTTTGGTGATAAAAGTGATGTACGTAGTTCACCAAGCATATTAGCAGCATGCTTAAGTCCTTCCATAACTGATTGTTGATCAAGTACACGTTTCATTGCAAATGCATGTTGTCGAACATTTTGTAAAGCATCAGCAAGTAATTTTTCTTGATTATCCATTGATAATCCAGCATTACTACCACGATTACTATCGACGGCTTTTTGCTGTAAAAAAAAAACAAATAAGTAAATAAAAGTAAAAAAGAGAACAATAAAAACCAAAAGATTACCATCGACATGACAAAGACTTAAAAATTATCAATATATCTAAAATAATACTATTTTTATCATTTGAAAAGAGGGGAAAAGATATCTTATGATAGCATGGAAAATAAATAAAAATAAACAAATAACATGGACCCACGGCTACGTGAACACAATTCATCCATTGGACATTCGCTTTGCCTTATTTCTGATGTTTAAATAATTGGAGATCGACAATTAAAATTTTTTAACATGTATTAAAACGCTTTTTTAAATTTTTAATGAGATTATTTAAAACATTTTCATTAAGGATAAACAAAATTTGTCAAAATTGATAAGTATAGATGACGCTAGATATTGGGTTTGAATGATCTATTGTGATTTAACTATCTTAGAATTTTTCTGAACTAATACTTCCTTCTCATCTCAATGATAGACTATAGATTCGTTTTTTATAGATGTTTTACGCTCACCCTTTCTTTTATAGAACCTAGGTTGAATGACACAGGTCTGTATGTGGCCATTTACGATGCAGAAACGGACCGTATTCTGCTGTAATACTTGGCACAGAAATACAGCCGTATCGTTAGAAGACTACGCCCACATAGGACCGCTTACAGTGAAAATACGAATAACATCATCCATTAATCCGAAAAGGTAAATTGAGCGCATTATTTGATGAGTAATAATAGCAACATATATCAAGATCGATAATGTCTATGTAAAGCATAATTGAACAAAGAATCCCAGACATTTTAAAATTAGTCAGATTTGACCGTTTTTTATCAATTTTTGAGGATAGTGAAGCTAGTCTATTTTGCTCTTTTTTATCGATTTCTATGGCGTTAACTATCCAAGAATATGGGCTTGAAAGTCTTCAACTCAGTGATGCATCTACAATTTTTATGATAGCGAACGATCGTGATCATAAAATGTGTCTTGAAGCTCGTTAGAAGTAGTATTGGCAAGAGGAAGGCGATCGCCTTTATCCTCCCACTCTAAATCAACCACTGCTGCAGCTGTCAATATTGAGCTCACAGATTGTCAACCTACAATAAAAGTCTTGCTTTGTGCTGAATTGAATTTATTATGACCATGAAAAATTAGGCAATCATCACAAGTTAAATTTTGGCAAACATAATTCTATGCAACAACTACTACTGTGTCGAGGAGGTTCTTATAGATGGTCATATCTAGTACGGAGCTGTTCCGTAGAAAAGATCTACAAGATCAAATGTTAGCCAGTCTACCTCGCATGAATGCATAAAATTTAATTAAGCATAAATGACGAATCAAACATTTTAGTTTCTTTCATCAGCATTTGTATGCTGTGACAGTCTCAAAAGCGTTTGACTTCAAACATAAAGAGAATTAAACTATTCAAATTTCAAGTATTCGATAGGCAAGCAGAATATCTGCCGATTTAATTTAAATATTAAAAACCATCGATCTTAAATTTTTTGATTCAGAGTAATTTCAATTATTTACTGTCTTCAGGAGATCACTATTGCTGTTATATATTTTTTTTTACAAATCTTTTGTTAGAAAGTAAATTAATTCAAACTAAACGTGCTCGAGTAAGAAACATTAGAACTTCGAATGTGAAATTTTTATCGTTGCCTGTATATACGACCAATAGTTTGATGACTTTCAAACCTCCAGAATTTGTATAGGTCTCCTTTAGGATTATTTTTTGGCGTCTTTTATCAAAACCTAATTCAACACAAAATGGCTCACTCATGAGTTTTGAATTCTATACGACAATATAAAAACTGCTAAAGACCCCTAACTTGATCATAAAGCTAGCTCTTATGATTCAATTTACAAAAATGACGTACGAGCAAATCTTTTCAGCTGCTCATTCATTTTTTAACAAAACCTACTGGTTTACTTAGGGTATACCAAAAGTTCGTGGCCCGACATTTAAAATTTTATAAAACAGTAAATATTGAATATTTTATTATGGGAATACATAGTATAACGTCTCGTCTTTAATAATCTATAGA